GCAGAGGGCGACAAGGCTATGGATGACGACCCTTTCGAATTGGCACCTATTATTGAGGCAGTGATGAATAAGCACAAAGGGAAAAAGTGATCATATCAAAGGTGGAGTATTCGTTCCCAATTCAATGCTTGCGACCTAAAAGCAATCGGCCAAGAAATGGGTTATGTTTAGAGGCGGAGGAGACCATCCTTAAGGGGTCTCCCAAGTCCCCATGAAGTTAATCTCATGGAATTGTCAGGGTATCAAGGGTGACCTGACAGTTGACAATTTGCTGGAGCAGAATCGGCTCCACACCCCCGACATAGTGATCTTGCTAGAAATAAAGAACAAAAATAGACGTTATGGATATCTTAAAATGAGATTGGGAATGGAGCATATGTACGCAGTGGAGCCAATAGGTATTGATGGCGGGTTGTGCATGTTTTGGAGAAACGACTCATATGTGATCGTGGTGAAGTCCGAGGACTTTGTGATTGAATTAAGACTATGGCTGCACTGATAAGAAAAAATAAAGGGACCAATGGCAATGCTTGAGCAAACGGATTGAAAAAGACAGGGACAAAAGTCTGTCATTGGGGATTTCAACGATATACTGTGTAATGAAGACAAAGAAAGCGGCAACTATAAAATAATGTCCAATATGCGGGACTTCAGAGAGTTCGTGGCTCGGATCGAGCTCATGGACCTGGGCTATGAAGGCTACCCCTTCACGTGGCGGAACAACAGGGAGGTTATGCCAATACAATAGAGACTCAATCGTGGTTTGCAACCATAAGGTGGCATGACCTTTATCCCGATACTGAAATCAAACACGTGGTGTTGGAAGGGTCAGACCCTGCACTGGTATTTCTTTCCAATGAGAAGGTGAGGGCGTGGAGGGGAAGAAAATTCACATATGATGTGCACTGGAGTAAGATAGAAAACTGCTGAGACCTGGTGGCTGAGGATTGGATGGACAAGTTTAGAGGTTCCCACGCCTTTCGTTTTTGTGAAAAAAAATGAAAACTCTCATGAGAAGCTTGAAGATGTGGTATAGAGGGAGAGGCAAGAACTCTAAGAAAGTCATCGAGTAGCAAAGAAGAGATTAGAGCGGCTTATAAATCAAATGGGTTTGCCACGGATGAGGTAAAACTAAAAAAGAGAGAGCTTAGGAATGCTCATAAGGATGAAGAGTCTTATTAGAAAGTAAAGTCAAGGATCCAATGGCTTAATGAGGGTGATAAAAATACGAAGTTATTCCATGCGCAAATGCTGAAAAGGCGAAGATTGTACCAGATTCGGGGGTTAGAGGATTCGAATGGGGTATGGCATGAGAGTGAAACCGGGATAAGTTCTATTGTGACCTCCTATTTTTCTGAGTTATTTCAGTCTAGTAAGCCTAGCCAATTGAAGAGATTGGGAGCTGTATGGAGGCCCAAGTGACACTTGAGGATAACCTAGCATTGATGGTGCCCGTTACAGTTGGTTAAATTAAAGAGGTAGCCTTTCAAATTCCTCCAACGATAGCCCTGGGTCCTGATGGGTTTTGTGGTTGTTTTTACTAGGACCATTGGGTTCTGTATTCTCTGCTTCACCAAAAAAAGAAGGACCATGCAGGCATGGCTATAAAGTTGGATATGGCTAAAGCTTATTATCGTGTGGAATAAGAGTTCCTCCTAACTATGATGGAAAAAATGGGTTTTGTGTTGTTGTTCTGTAGGTCGATTAAGGAATGTATCTTCACTGCTTCCTTCAGTATTCTAGTTAACAGGGTACATCCTACCGAAGAGGAGGTTAAGGCAAGGAGACCCATTATCTCCCTACTTATTTCTTTTTTGCACCGAAGGGTTTTCCATGTTGATCAGGAATGGTATGCAGCAAGGTGCTCTTCATGGTTTTAGGGAGACGCCAAACGGGGTACCGATAATGCATCTTTCTTTTACGGACGATTCAGAGTTGTTTGGTAATGCTACGGTGGATGAGGCGCAAAGGGTTGTAGATGTGCTGAAGGTTTATGTATGGGGATCAAGCCAAGAAATCGATATGTCTAAAAGTTTGATCTTTTTTTGCTCGAAGACTACGAAGCTATCCAAGAAGGAAATTGAAAAAACTTTGGGCAATCAATGTAAGGAGGGTTTCGGGAAGTACTTAAGGTTGGAAGAAGATTTTGGCCACTCCAAAAAGGTTGTCTTTGAGGAGGTCCGGGATAAGATTAAGACTCGCATGGCGGGATGGGCTGAGCAGTTCCTATCCCAAGCGTGGAAGGAAGTCCTTGTCAAGGTGATGGCCATGGCCATGCCGAACTACGCCATGAGTTGCTTTAAGTTACCCATTGGGGTGTACAGCGATATAGAGAAAGCTATTCGAAACTACTAGTGGAGAGGTAACGAGCAGCGAAATGGTGTCCATTAGATCTCTTAGGATCGGCTAATGAAACAAAAGTGGTACGGAGGCTTGGGATTCAGAGATATTCAATGCTTCAATTTAGCTTTCCTGGACAAAATTGGGTGGTGTCTAACCCAAAACCCGATGTCTCTTCTAGCAACTGTTTTGAGAGATAAATACTTCCCAGGAAAAACTTTTAAGGATGCTTGTAGGGGGATGAATACGTCTTGGGGTTGGAAGGGCATTTTTTAAACAAGTAAGGTGCTACAGCAAGGCTTAAGGTGGCAGGTGGGAAATGGCACTTGTATTAATATAAATGAGGACCTATGGTTCCCTAAACCTCCATGTTCAAAGTCAGGTCGCGGGAGAGCTTACAAGGAGCTATGGTGAGTGATCTAATTGACCCGGCCTTAAAATCTTGGAATGCTGATATGATTTCGGCAGGCTTTAACCAGGATGATGTGGCTCTGATCTTAAGCATCCCTTTAAGAAGAATTGGATGTCATGATAGATTGGTGTGGTATAATACCTTGAATGGGGATTACTTGGTAAAATCCGGGCATAGGGTGGCTGTGAGTCTCATGGAAAACGGAGCCCTGGGGAGGAAATGACGGGGTTCGTCCATCAAAAATCAGAACCACAACCAGGTGTGGAATATGATTCGGAATTTGAAGGTCCCTAACAAAATCAAAATCTTTGTTTGGCGATGTTGTAACAATGGTTTGGCAGTTAGACGTAATTTGCAGAGACGACACATGAGAATTGATAATGTTTGTGGGGTGTGCAGCATGATGGATGAGTCGAAAAACCACCTATTTTTCCACTGCAATCTCAGTCACCTTTTTTAGTTCTGTTCTTCACTTCAACTGAACTCCCTTGACTTGGCAGGTGCTGACTTCTTAGCAAGTTGGGAAATTTTCTGTAACCGGGTCAAAGGGAGGGATAAAGCTAATAATATTTTGCAGGAGTTTGCCTTCGGCCTGTGGAGACTCTGGAAAAATAGGAATGAGGTTATGTTTAATAGAGTGCACTGGCCGCCTTTGGAGGTCTTGGAGGAATGGACGGGGAATATCTCTAATTTTAGAGATGTTATGTCCCGGGGGCCTGCAGGTGAGTGTCCAAAGAAAGGGATGTTGACAATGGATGAGGCTCGAAGGACAGCACAATGGCAGAAGTCGAAGTACGAGTTTATGAAGGTCAATACCGATGCGGCTTGGTGTAAGAAGACTTTGTGTGCCGGCGTGGGTTGGGTCAGCAGTGACTTTGCCGGCCTGCTTCAAGCTGCGAAAGGCTCGGGCACCATGTTTTGTCACACTGTAGCAGTCGCTGAAGCGTGTGTGATTCGTGATGCCTTATGACTTTAGCCTTGAATGTATACTTGGTCCCTGAGATTTGCATAACTCATCACTTTGGTCCCTAAGATTGTCCACCATCCATCATTTTGGTCATTTCGTTAAAAATCCGTTAAGTGTTCGGGAGCTCTTGGCCGAAAGTTCGGGCAATTTTCAAAGCTTCGTAACTTAATCGTTTCTTAACCACATTCGACACATGAAATATCAAAATGAAGATAGGAAAGTGTAGAATAAGATTATAACTATTTCAAAGCCCAATGATTGCCGGAGATGGCCGGAAAATAGCCTCAAAGTTGACTGGTCCGAGTGAAAACTTGAAAACTCGTCGAAAACTGGGTAAACTTTAAACGCTCATAACTTCTTCAATACTCAAAGAAATCAAGTGATTCAAAAAACAAAAATCATACTTCTCAATGAGACAAAGAGAGTCGTACCTTTTTCAACGGCTAACTCTCCATGATTTGGCCGGAAAACGGCTCAAAAGTCTCTAACTTGATACCAAGATAGCCACTTTCAAGCCGTTTTCCAGACAAACAATGGCGAGTCAGCCTTCAAAAAAGATACCATTCTCTTAGTCTCGTCGAGAAGTATGATTTTCATTTTTGAATCACTTGATTTCGTTGAGTATTGAAGAAGTTATGAACGTTTAAAGTTTACCCAATTTCCAGCAACTTTTCAAGTTTTCAGTTGGACCAGTCAACTTTGAGGCTGTTTTCCGGCAATCTCCGACAAACATTGGGCTTCAAAATAAGTATAATCTTATTCTACACTTTCCTATATTCATTTTGATATATTATGGGTCGAATGTGGTTAAGCAACCATTGAGTTACGAAGCTTTGAAAATTGCCCAAACTTCCGGCCAAGAGCTCCAGGACACTTAACGGAGTTTTTAAGGGAATGACCAAAATGATGGATGGTGGACAATCTTAGGGACCACTTTTATCGATTTGGAATCTCATGGACCAAAGTGATGAGTTATGCAAATCTCAATGACCATTTTAGCGATTTACCAATTATTAAATTATTACTTAATTGTTGATTAACATACTTATTTCTTATTAGTAATATATTATTTAGTTTGCAAATTTAATCTAAACCGAACCCAAAACCATAATTTACTTCTAGATTGGCGGTTAATAAGGCCAACTCGCGGCGAACACCCCGTAAAAAATCTACAATACCAAATCACCCTCCGAAACATCAAAAAATGACAAATCACCCACTCCCCATCTACAAATACCTATATAATTTGCCACCCAACGGCGCTTTCTCGAAACACAGAAAATTCGAACACTCAATATTCTCTCTCTCTCTCTCTCTCTCTCTCTCTCTCTCTCTCTCTCAAGAATAACCGTCTTATCTGTTTCTCTAACTACTATGCGACAGTGGCCGTGACTTCGTCGTCCAGAACAAGATCCGACATGCACAAGCATCGCAAATCGCAGCCGTTCTTTTCCTCTTCGTCATCGGGCTTCGCGTCGTCCACCTCCTCGAGCTTCTCCTCCGGGTCGTCGACGTTCTTCTCGCGCTCCGCCTCCCCCACGCGCATCTCCATGTACGCCCACTCTCCTTCCCCGCCGTCATCGTCGTCGTCCGTACGATTCGCGAACCGCCCCGGCTCTCCCGGCCGTTCGATTTCCGTGAAGAATCAATTACCCACCAGGAAGAACAATAACAGCAACAGCGGCGACGGCAAGAGAACGTGCCTGTGTTCCCCTACGACGCACCCTGGCTCGTTCCGGTGCGCCCTGCACAAGAACTCGCCACGTGCCGGCCAAAGTTCGTCGTATCACTCGAGTATCAGCCTGAACTACAGAAGGTCGGCGATGAAAAATTCGCTGGTTCGAATCGGAGGAGTGGAAGGCGATTTAGTGAAGAGGGCTTTGTCGGCTCTGATCAGGCCGTCGTCGCACAGCCAGCGCCGCCGGGTCGATTTTCAGCCCAAGCCGAGCCGGCTCTCCGCAATGTCCAAAGCCTCCGACGACGACGTTTAAGTCCTGAATGGTTCTTGGAATATTGTTTGTATATTGATTGTTTTGATGCTGGGAAGTTAGGGTTTAATGGAGCAGTTTGGACATAGGAGCGAGCTAACCGGTGAGTTGAGGTTGACTGATCAGGAGTCGTTCATCAGTTTTTTTTTTTTTTTTTTTGTAAAGGATGCTCGCATGGTGATAGTGCTGTAGAATCTTGGATGAAGAAATATTTTTATTTTTCTTCGGATTAGGGGTTTATCAGATTCTTCTTTTTTTTTGGATTTCATTTGTAAATTTGATTTCATTTGTGAAAAGGTTTTTTTTGCTGATTAGCTTTGATTTGTCATGAACTCATGGGTTTTGGCATTGTTTTGCGATGGGTGGATATTTGGATTTTTATTCATACATTTATTTTTATTTTTTATTTTTTCTTTTAAAACAAAATATAAAGTATGATAAAAGATGAGCGAAGATGAGAATAGGAGAAAGCAACTCATTTTTTATAATATTAAAGATATGGTCATCGTTTAACTGTTAGATCTTGTTGGGTTGACCGTTATTTTCCTTTCGAAATTTCACCACGTGTCTATTTAATAAACCAATAGAGTGTAGCCATCACAAGTACACACTACGTGTGTTAAAAATAAATAATAAAAAAATACAAAGATTTAGGAGATGTAAGGGTGTGTTTGTTTGAGCTCGCTAACTTTCGTTGGCTTGGACTGGACTATGTAGTAGTTTAGTTTCGTATTTGTTAACAGTCCGGGACTAAATTTAATGAGATTAGAAATGACTCGCGGGGACTAACTCCCTCGCTAGCAGACCCGTCGAGAACCATAGGATTAGCGGGGACTAACTCCCTCGCGTCTTCCTCTGCTCCTATGTTTTCACAAACGCCGAGAGCCACCATCATTTCCCCTCACCAATTCCCCATTCAATCCTCATTTCTCCTCGCTTTTTTTCTCTTTCTGCTCTGCCAAGATCTGAGCTCAGCTAGAACTCGGCCGCGATGGCGACAGTTGCTTCATCCTTCTGGTACTGTAGTTTTGCTGCTGCGGCGGTGACTCAGTAGCAGTCGGCTTCTCCTACGCAGAAGATATTCTAAGCACGCTCGGGAACTGCTGGTCAAAGAGCCTCCTGAGCCGCGATTTGAAGATGGGTTGCGCCGAGTCGACCCGACTTGGCTCAATCAAATTCTCGGAATCGATTAATCGATTGGATCTCATCGGAAATGGCATGGGTTTTACAAACTACAAATTACTTCAGAAAAATTGGAGGTGAAATTCGAATCAGTTTGGTATGTGCAGAGGCTGTGGGTGATGTTTTTTGTAGAGACGGAGAAGGTAAGGGTAATACAGCAAAGTTTTGTAGGATACTAGCAAATTACAAAGTCTAGTTCCATTGCAAAATGGAAAAAATAAAATATTTTAGTCCAAGATTTAGTCCAGCACTGCATCAAACACTTCACTATTTTTATCCTGCTTAGTCTAAGTTAATCCAATCCAGCTTAGTCCTTAAAGCTAGTTCAATCCGAGACAGTTCGGTGCAACAAACGCATCCTAAGGGTTATGCTGTGTGTTAAAAATAAAAAATAAAAAAATGCAAAGATTTAGGAGATGAAAGGAACTAAGGGTTATGCTTTTTCATCACATTACATGTAGGTAAAGAATAGGGCTGGGTTTTTTTTATTTTTTATTTTTTTGAAACAATAGGGCTAGGCATGTGAAAAAAAAAAAAGTCGAATGAACCGCCCGAATCACACCGGCGGGTGGTTTGGTTTGGTTTGAATTTTTTTTTTTTTTTTTTTTTTGTGGTTAAATCAAACCACACCGATCTTAATTGGTTTACAATTGGTTTTCAAAATTCTTAGGGTGGGGGTTAACCGCACCGATTCTCATATATTTAATTTTATTTTTTAATCATAATTAATACGTGAAGTAATATAAATGGATAGTTATTTACGAGTTACCATGGTCCACTACATGAAACAAAACTTGATTAGTTTAAGAGCCCCTTTAAAGAAGAACAAGGGGACCATTTGGAGAAGGCAGCAGCTGCTGCTTGGTGTTCTCATTGGGTTGCTCATTTGTGCTTTCATTTGAGCAATCACTTATATTGATACTATGTTATGTAGTTTTAGGAGAGAACCATCTCGGCTCAAACTAACCTACCACTGTCATTTAACCGACCTGATCAATTTTAGACCCAGCTTAGTTGGTTTCGATTACAATTTTAGCCCAACCGACTAGATTGGTTTGATTTCAGTTTTGGCCAAAACCAATCCCAACCAACCCACGCCCACCCTTAGTGAAGAATAGGAAAAAAAAAACAAAATTTAGTTTGTGTAAGATTAGATTATTATCCATGATTTATTTTTTAATAATAGACTAAATTTTCTTTTCACCCAATTTTTATTGACAAAGAAAGTTTTATTAATATTAAGGCTGGGTGGAGGTCGGTTTGTATCGGGTTTAAGCCAAAACTGAAACCAAACCAACTCAGTCGGTTAAGCCAAAATTGTAAACTGAAACCTACCAACCTAGTATAAAATTGATTAGGTTAGTTAACAGACAATGACAGGTCGATTTAGGTCGGTTCTCGATTTGTGGATGTCCCATTTCTTCTCCAGACATGCGTAATCTTTTTCACGGATACCTTGCATCGAACTCCTTTCCAATTTCAACTAGCAATTTAGTAAAATAAAACCAAACAAGGAGTAAGGAAGTTTGGGGGGGGGGGGGGATGCAGCTATTCGCTCTGGGTTAAAAGCAACAAATGGGTAAAAGCAATCACAAAAGAAAACAAATGGGTGCACTTTAAAAGAAAAAAAGAAATTAAACAAATGGATTTTTTTTTTTGAACAATCGATAAGATATACATTAAGACAACGTTTGTTCGGCTTGGTTAGAATTCACTGGACTGAATTGGCTTACCAATCCAGTTTTTGGTGCGAGAAAGGATTGAGTTTAATGAGACTAAATCGGACTCGTGCCAACTAAGTCTTTCGCTAGTTGATCTTAGCTAAGCCCCTCGAAAACTACAGGATTGCTAATCTCGTCTCCACCACCAATGTCCTGCGAACCCAGTCACCAAAATCATGCCTTTTTGCCGATCTCCATCGTCTTGCGAACCCAACCCCCTATTTACTTCCCGACGAACCCACAACCCAGACTTCTCGACGAACTGACAAAAGAACACTTAATCGATATGTGGAAATGGGTTCTCCATATTCGTCGATTGAGCTGGAATTAGACCCATAAAACAAAGATAACAGCCTCTGCCTGAAGAAATTAGGATCCGAGAACGATCTTTGCAATTTGAGATCCCTCTGCTACCTCGCAGCTCCTACGCCAAGCGCTTCTTTCGAGGCGAAGCAACATGAATACAAAGGGAGAGAGTAGAGAGGGGAGAGGGGACAGTGGTACATAGGTGAAACGACAGAAAAAGAAAAGGGAATGAGGAGACAGTAGGCGGAGTAAAAAAAAGGAGGGAAAGGGAAGAGTGGAGGGAAATAGTGAGTGGGGTAAAACAATTTTAAAAAAAATAGAGGTATAGAGATCAGAGAAGAAGATGAGTCTAGAACAAATGGAAAATGACAAAGAAATAATAAAATATTGATAGATATAGATTAAATTAATAATCAAGTTTAACATACATAAATTAAATAATATAATATTACAATTCGGCTTCTTAGTTCGATACTGTACTAAACGCTTCACAAATCAGTCCGGTGCAACAAATGTACCTTAAAGGTAGGTGGTAAGCTTAGCCTCACAATAATAATGTGATTCAAATACGTCTTTAAAATGAATTGAATATAAAACCTATTACTTACAAGTGAAGATAAATACTGCTAGACCGTAGTACTAAGTAGCAAACATATAGATTAAAATACTTAGATACTCACCATAGAGTACCAAATTGAGGACACCTGCTATTCTAAGAATTCTTTTAAACACCCGCCCAAACACCTTTAAACACACAACCAAACACCTCATTTCTTCTTCCCTGCAACTTTTTCACCCTTTTTCCTTTATCTTCCTTCACCTACACCAATCACTACCATGGCTGCAATTTATCATAATTGCAAATAAACAAAATGAATTCTTTTCAACATGAACAAAATAAGACCCATATGGAGATGGGAGTCGCCATCTTCGTTGTCCTTTGCACATTCGACAACCATCCTCACCCACCACCATCACCAGCCACCGTCCTTCATCCGCTTTCGAACCAATGATTAATTGTTTCCTGTGAAATCGTTGAGTAATCGAATTCATGGCACCTGTAAAAATTGCTCTTGGTCTGTGCACTGGTTTGGTCGATTTTGCAGAGGAAGGGCTATGACGGAGGAGAGAGGTAGGAGGATGAGGATGGGATTGACGGAGCGGCTGGCATAGGGAAAGTAGGAATAAGATAGGTGTTTGGTTATTAGGATAACAAGGATTTGGATGTGAGTTTTAAAGATAGGTGTTTAGACCTATCATTCGTGTCGTGTTTCTCGTGTTCGTATTGTTTTCGTGTCATACCTGATATCTTGACGGGTCATGTCGTGTAACACCTGTTAAAATAAACGGGTAAAATGACCCGATCCAAAATTGACCCGATAATATTAACAAGTAATATGACCCGACCCGTTATCCGTTAAGGAAAATATATTTTAAACCAATAAATAATCAAATGAAAAACATAATACTAAAGAAGTATATACATATCATATTATCACATTCAAAACATAAAAACGCATTTGTTTTTCAAGTATTACATATTTACATACCCAAAATAAGAGCATAATAATAATAAAAAACATTAGAACATTACAAAATATCAAATGTTCAAAAGATTTGCAAAATTAAGGGAGTTATGTTTCAAGGTTTGGAACCTTGCACATTTTCTTACAATCAAACTCTTCAATTTTCATCAATCACCAAGGGAAATGGTTTTGGAACTTTGGCTTGATATATTGTCTTCAAGAGTTATATTGATGATATTTTCAGTGAGGCTTTCTACATTAGCACTTTCTTCTCATTTATCCTATGGGTATTGTTTAAGTAAAGTCTTTAATAGTTTTTTAATTAATGTAGAAGTGTGAAAAATATAGAAAAATATATATAAACACTCGTAATGACAAACTTTACAACTTTCATGAAGGGCTTAACTTTGAAATGTGCCACTATAATCATATAAATCATATATCAAAATTTAACCATCAATTGTTGTTTACATTTATGGTTCATTTTTCTCACCAAATTTTGTTTTTTCAGATTTTATTTTTTGAAAACATGATCTATTAGAAGATACAGGAAGATGAACGGTTCGGATCATT